TAATCTTTGGATCTGGATCGCGAATTCTTCTAAAATCCAAACAGGTAATAACAAGTTAACAAACCTTAACTACCAAATAGTAAAGGTTATTATTAATTTTTGGATCTGGACTGCAAATTCTTCTAAAATCCAATCCTGATGATAAAGAAACCTGTTTGGATAAGAGTGCGATTAAATATACATTTAAATTTTTACCTACATTTGAACAATATACAATATTTTCACCTCCTAAGCATGCATGTTAATTTGCGAATAATAAAAGGCTCCAAGGTTCATTTTTTATTTAAACACAGTAATCAATTATTATTTTTGATTTAAAATTTCTACTATATAAAGGATTGATTTTATTACCTTTTTTAAGAGATGCACGATCTAGTCAGAATTGCTTAACCCCATAACCCCACGGCATAATTTGTGCAAACCAGAAAAACCCAAATATGATACTGTAGATAAATTAACCATTACTAAAACTGAGATCTGAAATTAATAATATGAATAATAATAGATTTTAAAAAGGAATTTAGAGCATTTTTATAAATAAATTAGTATGAACATGTACATACATGTGTTGCTTTTTTGTTTTGTTTTTAAAAACAAACAAACACTAATAAATGATAAAAAAAATTTTCAGGTTCAAGCAAAGAAATTTTTAAAAAAATTTCATGTAAATGGCAACAATTTTTTTTAAAAAAATAATCAAAACCTGTGCTTTATGTACTGTATTGCATTCAATATATTATAACATTATTACTGCATTAAGAAGTCTATCACGAAGGAATTAAATTTATAATGAACTAATTAAATATTGAATAAATATCTTTAAATATCGCAAGTTAACAATTCAGTTAAATGTGTTTTTTGAAATTTAAAATCACAATATGGCAGAAAACTCTAATGCTTCTTCTTTTAATCCAATTGATACATCTACACAAAAATCTAGTGGTAAACCAAAGTCAATCGTATGAGAAACACATATTAAACAAGGAAAATAAATTTCTAAAGGCCATTGGAGTGCGACACGCAACTATTGTAATGAGTTTTGGTACAAAGGCTCTCCTGCTTCACTTGAAGCTCATTTAGGTAACTCATATAATAAAGCCCCACCAGATGTTCGTAGCTTATTTTTAAGTTGATTAGCAACAAAAGAACTTGATGCATCAACATCAAAAAAATGAAAACTTAATGTTTAGTCACAACTTTCTGACTTCGTTGAAAGTACCAAGTTAACACCAGATCGTATTAAAGACATAATTAGAGCATTAGTAAAGGCATTTATTGTTTGTGGTTTCCCTTTCATATTATTGAGAATCCATTTTTGTAGAGTTATTAAAAACTTTATGTCCAGCATATGAGCCACCATCTAAAGATATTCTTTCTGGTCGCTATTTGGCACAAGAAACAGCATTTGTTAATCAGGCAATGATTAAACAATTGAATAGTTCAAAAAATATGACTTTGGTAAATTATTTATTTTAGTTACACTAAATAAAACAGACCAATCTTATGCATTCATTAATAAGATCACTTACAGGTTTTATTTAGTATTACTGATTTTTTATTTTATTATTTAGCATGTGACAGCTGGAGTAATCCTTCTAACGAGTCAATTTGGAACTTTGTAATCTATACACCAGACCGCTGTCAATATTTGTGGAGTCTTCAAAACCTGTCAAATGAA